GTTTTAGCAGCTTCTAACAAGCTTGTTGATATTATCCGACTTGTAGCAAGGTTGTTCCAACAAATCTGATACAGTCATGATATCTCAATATTGTACAAGTTGTTTAAACAGCTTGTAACAAGCTTGTTGATATTATCAGACTTGTAGCAAGGTTGTTCCAAGAAGTCCGATACATTCATGATATAACAATATTGTACAAGTTGTTAACAGCTTGTAACAAGCTTGTTGATATTATCAGACTTGTTGCCAGGTTGTTCCAACAAGTCCGATACAGTCATGATATAACAATATTGTATACAAGTTGTTAACAGCTTGTAACAATCTTGTTGATATTATCAGACTTGTAGCAAGGTTGTTCCAACAAGTCCGATACAATCATGATGTAACAATATTGCATACAAGTTGTTAACAGCTTGTAACAAGCTTGTTGATATTATCAGACTTGTAGCAAGATTGTTTCAACAAGTCTGATACAGTCATGATATAACAATATTGTATTCAAGTTGTTAACAGCTTGTAACAAGCTTGTTGATATTATCAGACTTGTAGCTAGGTTGTTCCAACAAGTTCGATACAGTCATGATATAACAATATTGTACAAGTTGTTAACAGCTTGTAAGAGGCTTGTTGATATTATCAGACTTGTAGCAAGGTTGTTCCAACAAGTTTGATACCGTCATGATATAACAATATTGTATTCAAGTTGTTAACAGCTTGTAAGAAGCTTGTTGATATTATCAGACTTGTAGCAAGGTTGTTCCAACAAGTCCGTTACAGTCATGATATAACAATATTGTTACAACCTTGTGTAGTCAACCTTGTAACATTCTTGTTATATCATGACTGTATCAGACTTGTTACAACAACCTTGTAGCAAGTCTGATAATGTCATCAAGCTTGTTACAAGTTGGTAACAGCTTGTTTCAAACTTGTTACAACAACTGGGAACAAGCAGTGCGAAGACAACTTGTCGACAGTTTGTGAACAGATTTGTAACAACTTGTTTACAGACCTGTAACAACTTGTGCGTTTTTACGTGTGTATAACAAGAATGTTACAAGGTTGATGACACAAGGTTGTAACAATCTTATTATATCATGACTGTATCGGACTTGTTGGGACAACCTTGCGACAAGTCTGATAATATCAATAAGGTTGTTACAAGTTGTTAACAGCTTGTTCCAAACTTGTTGACAACTTGGGACAAGCAGTGCGAACACAACTTGTTGACGGCTTGTTAGCAGACTTGCTACAAGATGTGAGATTTTTACGTAAACACACAAGTTGTAACAGACCTGCAGCAGACTTGTAGCAATGCTGTTCCAACAACTTGTCAACAGGATGTGTTCGCACTGCTTGTTGACAACTTGCTACAAGGTTGTTGAGCTGAACAGACTTGTCACAAGTTGTTCCAACAACATGTTATCGTCCTGCAATTCAACAATTTGTCAACAAGTTGTGAGTGACAACCTTGTAGCAACTTGATGAAATAACAGCATTGTTACAACTTGTTGACAAGCTTGCTACAGGCCTGTTGCGAACACATCTTGTTGACAAGTTGTGAGATTTTTTATGTGTGTTCCTGAAGTACACAAGTAAAAACGTTTGTTTGTAACAAGCCTGTCAACAAGCCGTCAACAAGATGTATTCGCACTGCTTGTCACAAGTTGTCAACAGGTTTGGAACAACTTGTTGACAATTTGTAACAACCTTGTCGAAATTATCAGACTTGTTGCAAGGTTGTTCTGACAAGTCCGTTACATGCTTGATATAACAAGATTGTTACAACCTTGTGTTGACAACCTTGTAACATCCTTGTTATATCATGGCTGTAACAAACTTGTTAGCACAATCTTGTAACAAGGCTGATAATGCCATCAAGCTTGTTACAAGTTGTTAACAGCTTGTTTCAAACTTGTTACAACAAACTGGGAACAAGCAGTGCGAACACAACTTGTCGACAGCTTGTGAACAGACTTGTAAGAACTTGTTTGCAGACTTGTTACAACTTGTGCGTTTTTACGTACATACGTGACTGAGGACAATACAAACCTTTATAAGTCTGATTCATATCTGTCATCAGACAATCCAGCATGCCAGCTTCGCTCGAAATAAAATGCACATAAAACTCTCCCGGACTGACGATATGTGAGGCCAGCATATACACTGATCCATCAGAGTCAACTGGAATATGAGGCGGCGGTACACGACATACCACGCCATCACCATGACAACCAGGCGAGGTTACGTCATGGGTGTTTACATCAAATACAGGTGATGGTGCATCATGGAATCCGCTGGTCACTGAAGAACTGAGAATGCTTTCAGATTTCACCACTTGGTCGCTAGGCGACGAAGGAGGACTGACGTCATCACTAGTGTCAGTACTCTGAGGCGATGCGGCGCGGATAGCGAATCCCTCACGTATAAGCATTTCATGAATGTTATATTCGAGTTTGTGATAATCAACATCACTGACCGAGCGAGCATGGGGACGAATGTAGAGGTCCAAAGAGACAGGATTTATAGCAGCCTCGTTCTCGTACAGCACAGCTTCGAGAGTTTCCCCTGACACGCGACGTCTAAGCCAATCGTTAACTGCAAAAAACGTTTTTACACTTAATATATCATACACGGGTGAGTCAATGCTCTGCCGAAAGTCGTGGGTTTTCTCCGGGTGCCTGGTTTCCTCCCACAGCGAAAGTTGACAGGGTGGGTTAGGATAAACACAGTTAAG